ACTGGCGGATGGAACTCGGAGGAGGCCTAATCTGTGCGATCTAATAGGTCGAAGGGAGGTAATTGGCAGGAGGCGGTCACCAGTTTATAATGGCACCTTGCACAGATTCCTTTTTTTCAACCATCAATAACCAATTTGGCCCAGATTCAATATTATAATTGTTTGTTTGTTTACATTTATTGGCTACTCAACTGCAGTGGACTCTGGGCAGCATATAAAACTAGAGGAGTTATAAAGACAGCTAAAATACTGCACTGGTTGTCGGTTTGCTTCCCAGTGCAATTCAAAATGCTAGTTATCACCTTTAAAGTCCTGCATGGCATGGGCCCAGGCTATGCTTTAGGAACTTCTTAAGGAACTTCTCACCCTGATGGGACTGGCCCACCCCACCTATGCTGGCTGAGGGAGTGTACTGTGGATCCCATCAGCCAAGGAATTTCAGCTAACAGGATCTAGGAGAAGAGACTTCTCTGCTATGGCTCCTACCCCTGAGGTAGTTTCTACCCTCCTAACTTTTCATAGCAGCGTTAAGACCTGGCTCTGTCAGATAGCTTGCAGACCCGATGAGGGAGATTCACACTGAAGGTGGTTTACTAATTAAAACCTACCGTATTTTTCAGAGTATAAGACGCACCCTTTTCCCTCAAAAAAGAGGGTGGAAATCTGGGCGTGTCTTATACACTGAATACAGCATTTTTGGCCTCCCGAAACCCCGCCCTCTTTGCAAAACTGGTCATGCATAGCCTTTAGGAGGCTTCCAGAGTGCCCCTGGGGGCTGGGGAGGGCAAAAATGAAAAATAATGGGCCATTTTTTGCTCAGCTTTACCCTCTCCCCCCCCCAGCCTCCGGGAGCACTCCATAACCCTCCTAAAGGCTATGCATGCCCCTTTTTTTAACAAAAATTGGCCCATTTTTGTGAAAAACAGGCTGTTTTTTGCTCGTTTTTGGTCCCCCCCCCAGCCCCCATGAGCACTGTATAAGCCTCCTAAAGGCTGTGCATGCCCTTTTTAAAATTAAAAACAGGCCCATTTTGGTGAAAAACGGGCGATTTTTGGGAGGTCTGCAGAATGTAAAAACGTTTTTTTAAAAATGTGTCTCTTCAAAATCTTGGTGCGTCTCATACTCTATTGCATCTTATACTCCAGAAAATACGGTATTTCCTCCCACCATGTGTCCTCCTCCTTTGCCATTTGTACTAAATATTTTATCTGCTGTATTATTTTGTAATTTATGATTTTAATGCTTTTATGTTTTATGCTGCCCAGAGTCATTGAACACAAGATGGGTGACAAATAAATTTCATAGTACAGAAATAATAAAGAAATAAAATATATAAAAATATTAAATCAAACAGCCTGAGATTGGATTAACATTGAACAAATAGTAAACATTAAGCTCCAGTTTAGAGACCAAACCAGGTTTTCAAAGTTTTGGGGAAGCCCAGGACAGAAGGTGCTGTCCTTGTTTCTGATTTCAGAGAGTGGGAGCTGCAACAGAAATATTCAGCGTTGGAAACCTAAACAATTAATTGGGGTTTTGTACCTTCCTTCCATGGTTGGGATGGGGAAATTTTGTTTTACAAAAGGAAAACTTACAAATAAAATAAATTGGAAAGTAGAAATGAATTTTAATAGGATTATTTTCTATTTTAACCATCTATTTTCTTTATCTATACTATATTCCTTAAAGTTCATTTTCAATATATTGTCACATTGTTCTATTCTATTCTTCCAATATATTTATTTATTGCTCATTTCTGTATTTATTTTCTTAATCTCTGCCTGTCTATTGTCACTGTTGTAGAGCTATGCACTCACCCCCCCCCCCCCCCGAGTTCAATCTGATTCATTCTTTCTTTCTTTCTTTTTTAGTTTTTGGTTTCTATTTCTGTCCTGCCAGGTCTTTAGGTTTTCTTATTCTTTACTTCTTGTTTGTTCCTGGTGAGACATCTTACGTCATCTGCTCTTCTGAATCTTTGCTTCGTATAAGGGAAACAGCTTGAAGAAAGATGTTGTACATTTCTAGAACCTGTGTATTTCATTATTGCCAGGCTGACTATCTGACAGATATCACTGATATGGTAATTTCTTTCTGAATCATTTTGGGAGACAAATTGTGTGGAATCACTCTAATGTTATCTTAATTCTACTCATCATGTTTTCACTCCATAGATTAAACTGTTATTCCCAGAAAACGGATTGGTTTACGACTATAAACTGGATGATGCTGGAATTAGTAATATTGAAGACGATGAGGAAGAAGATATTGTAGAGGTGGTATATTATGTTTTATAATTTTATTTAATATTTTTATTATATTTACAACCCTGAAAGTTATACAGGGTTACTGCATCTGCTAAGGAATTGTTTTTCTCAAATTAAATTGTTAAAGGGTTACAGCTGTAGTTCTCACCTATCAACCACCTTGTTCAGTTACCATTTGAACTTATAACAATGCTGAAAAAGTAGATTTACAAGGTCCTTGAACTTCTGGCCGTTGAAGCATCCCCATGGTCATATGACTGTAATTTGGACACTTTGCAACTGTGTACATTTGTGATGCCTACAGCAGCCTTCATGCATTTAATCACCATTTCCAACCTTCATGGCCAACTTTCTACAAGAAAAATCAATGGAGAAGTGGCCAGTTGTTGCAGGTCATGGTCACATAATATTGCGCTTAGCAATTATAGAGTGATACATTTATTGACCACAGTGCAACTGAAAGCCTAAATCCAATGCAGTCGTGATTTTTCACTTAATTATTGTGTTGCTTAGCAACAGAGTTGTCAGTCATGATTATGATCAGTAAGTGACGGCTACTTGTATATCAGATTATGCATATTCTTTATTTAAGTCTGTAGAAAATAGATCAGTTCTCTGTAATGCCTCTGGACCAATGATAGAACTTGAGATCACCCATAAATTTCCCATATTGCTGTTCATGAGTTGACTGCAGAACAGTGGGTGGTGGATTTAGATCCGGGGAGGGGGGCGCTTAGATCTCTGGGAGACAAGAAATAGGTATCTTGCTCAACCATTGTGGACACTTCAAAGGGACACTGGATTTGCATACTCCCTTTTTTAGTCAATTTCAGAAATTGCTTGTGAACTGCTTTTTGACTATTAGGAACCCTTGGATTGAGAGGTTATACATCATAAGGTAAGTTTTAATAATTTGAACATTGGACACTAGAGGGAACTAGGAAGAACTAAAGATTACAATTAGAAACATTTACATTTGGCTTACCAATATAGAACGAAGCAAAACATTTTAACATTGGACATATTGAAGGGTATTTTTGAACAATGGACTCAAAAGTTAATTTTAAGAGTATCTGCCTATATAGATAGACCATGTTTAAAAGATTTTATGAAAGAGGAACAAGTTTTACCTGACAAGATTGTGACTTATCTGAAAGTGAATTTTAAAATGACAGTCTACAAGAATAATATGGAAAAAGATGCTACACTGGACATAAAAAAGAAACTGACATATCTTAATATTTAAAAGGGATATATACAAATAACAAATCAAGAGAGTAACCTGAATAATTTTCCTATATTGGATTTACAAAAGAGGCATGTTAAAGCTTTGAAGAATTTTGTGAGAAAGGATAGAAAAATGAAAAGAAATCAAGTTTGAGGGCATTGATTGAAGGAACTAAAGATCAAGATTGTTTAAAGTAAAAGGAAGGACAATAAAATTGGTTTATTTTATCAATGTTAAAATAGATACGTCGCTATCTCTGGTAACCCTTAATAGATTTGTCAAGTAGAATGGAGAAGCTGGCACCAAAATTTCAAGTTTCAGTCACCTGATGTCTTGCTGAATGATCATGTGATTCACTTAATGACCATGGCAGAAGTAAAGTCGTAAGCCCATCACAGTCATGTGATGTCTTGCTTAATGCTCATGTTGCTGATCCCAATTGCAGTATCATAATAAATCAAGGACTCCATGTAACTAATTGGTAATCAGCATTGCATTGGGTAAATCCTTTGCTGCAATCATGTAGTAAGTGAGCCATGTTAGTCTATGGTAGCCAAAACTCAGAAAAGGTCTGGTAGTATCTTTTCCCACTAAAAATTTTTATTGAAAGGAATAAGCAGCAGCTCTTTTCATCAAAGTATATTATATTACATTTACAGCAATCTGAACATCTATTAAGAAAGTTAACTTATCAAACCATGACATAAGATTAGTTTGGCAAGATCTGTTCTGGACAACTCCATGCTGACTTCTGTCAATTACTTCATTGTTTTCAAGATTCTCTCAGGTTGATCAATGTTCTTTTCTGCTTCAGAATCAACATCAGTCTGATTGGCCTGTGGTTTCCTGGATCCTTCTTTTCCCCTTTTTGAAACTAGTTCATTTAATATAACACATTTTTAAAATACATATTTGATTTATATCCACGATCTACCCAGGAAATCATTTGTTCACATTAATATTGTGAGTAAAATATGAACATTTTTCTTCCTTTACAACAAAAACTTACAAAGCAATGTTTGTTCTTTACTCAAGCTATCATACTTGATGATATGATCATTACTTGATTCAATATATACATATATATTTTTCCAAGGCATTTACAGATTCTAGTACCTAAAGAGCAAATAATCCGCCCTATTTAGGCATACGTAAAGTATTGCTCCAACTTCATTCATAATCATATAATATTATACTTTTTGAGATTAATTCTTCAGAGGTTCAATCATCACTCTCAAATCAAGAGTATGGAATTTTTAACACTGTGGCCATGTTTCAAATCATTCAAAAAAATCAATTGAACACACAATCAACTGTGTGTTCACAGCTTTACAGAGCACTTTATCTGCTGGAGTCCAAAAATAATTTTCTCAGCCTACCATTATGACCATACAATCAGAACATTTAACTTTGCAATACCAGTAGATAAAATTGCATAATGCATATATTTCCATAATCTTAACCAGGAAAAATTTATTTGTATGTGTACTGATATTTTAAATGGTTATGAAAAGTGGTAGAATAATGAACTACAAATGCCTAGCTTGAATATTTGTAGAGAAAGAACATTTCAGGGTAATATGCCATTTTTCCCAACGTTGAAGGCTCTGTTAAGAATCAGCTTTGATATGAATTTTCTAAATAACAATTGGTCACCTATTTTTGATTACTATATTTTCTCCCCCAATTTTAAATCTAAGAATATTAATTGTAGCTTGCCAGGCAAATGGTGTATAATTAGTAAAGTTTTAATAGGTTGTAAATTTTGAAAGGAACAACATTTTCACTCTTGAGGAAATGTGATTTTTCAGCCTTTGGGCTCCCCCAACCAAAACTCAGCAATAAATCATGGGCTCTTTAACTTTACATAGCTAATCTATTTCCCAGACTACTGTTAGCAATAGGCCCACATCTCCATTTGGTTAGTTAAGAATCTTGATTGCAAACAAGAATCAAGCCAAACAAAATAGTTAAGTTTCCACTGCTACTGTACTATCTGTATGTCTTAGTGCCTCTTTAATGCACAAAGGTGCAAATCCCTGCTTTTCTCGGGAACTAATGGATTCTTACTGTGATGCTTCAGGACCTTGAAGCTGAATGGTTGCTGATTGCTTATATAACTGCCTACTCTGAGCTGAGAATCATTGGTCCTCATCTTCTCACAGAGTTGGAATCTTACCTTGATAAAAAAAAATGCTTGGATGTTATTTAATCATATGTATATGTGTCGGTGCAAGTGTCTAAGTCAGAAAGAGGGAGCTGGAAAAAGATTTCTGGGTCCACAAGTTAAAGTGCCAAAACAAACGCAAATGGCTTTAATTAATAAAAGAAACTCCCTTTACAATAAGCCATTTGTGCCAAGTCACAACTAAAAAATTCAACCTCAGTACCAGCAATAAATGACAGAACAAGTAAATAGCTATTCAACTTCATTGTAAAAACCTACCCTGAGCATAACTAAAGTCTATTAGACCTCACAGTCAATATCAGTGAGACTCCAGACAGTTACATATCACTATCATTTTCACTCCCCAGCCCCTTAAAAGGAGTTTAAAGGCAAATAATGACTAATACACTACCATCAGCTTCCAAACTCAAGCAAGACCATGAACCAATCAAGGCCCTCTTCAACAGAAGAGTGCAGCTGTGCATCATTCAAACAATGTCGCCCCATCCACATTTTTGGTATATTTTATATGCATTTTGACTGGTTGCTAATCAATGAAATGGCAGTATCTTAGTATGATGCTCTGGTTGCTAGACTCCGTTGGAAGGGAGAAGCTAGGTCAGTGATGGCAAACCTATGACACGCGTGTCAGTGCTGACACGCGTAGCCATTTGGGGTGACACGCACAGGATTTCATGCGATTCATCCTCGGCTCCTGCACAACCGATGAGGATGAAAGATTCTGTGATGGCGGAATGGGGGGGCCGGAAGTGTGAAATCCCCG